CCGGTCCGCGGACCGGGGGTTGGGGATCACTGGGTTACAGAACCAAACCAATTCAGTAAAATACACACCATTTTTACTTACCATTTACTGTTATCCAAATTCATCCCATTTAACCTGTTCTAGTAATATTTATGGGAAAGTGTAATTATTGTATTTCTTTGGTCATTTGGTGGAGTTTTGTTTTCCGTTCCTGAGTTTCTGGGGCGAGGTGAGGGAATGCTGATCTTGGCAGAAGAAAACTAAGATGTTAATTAAATGATGCAAGCCTTTGATTATTTTCTCTCCCTCCCTCCCCCCCCCTCTTCCACTTTCTGCCACAGCTAGACATTCTTCTCACAAGAAAAGGAAGAACAGAAGATACTACTCAAGTCTTGCTGAGGAAATTAAAGGAACTTCAAGAAGATCCTCTCTGCCTGAATTAAAAGACAGTATTGAATCTCTGCTTGTGTTGCTTATAAAAAGTGAAGTTGCCAGTACCAATATTCCAGAAAGAAAACGACAGAGGAATAACAAGGTTTTTGGTTGCTAGTTTTTTTTTTTTTTTCTTATTTCACTTTGCCTGCTTATTAGTCTACAGAGATTACAAAAGAACAGGTTCTTTTTCTGTTTTTTTAGTATTTTTGAATATGTTTTACACTCCAAATAAACTTTTTAGACTAGATATAGAACTTCATTATGATCATTCTTGGAAAAACTATAATTTTTTTTAGTTTGCCTCCTAGTTTTTTCCAGATACAAAGATGTTTTCCTGTCACAGCTTATTACTGTAACAATATTGCAGTATTATTTCTGGATTTAAAAGAAATACGGTGTTCGTGTCACTTCATGAGATACCACTGAGGAATGTGGAGGAAGTTTTATATTTTAGCATTGTGTAACTTAGTTTCGATTTTGAATCTTTAAACCACAGACACACCTATAGAACCAGTTTTATATTGCAAATCCAAATGTAAAAGATGTCTTGGAAGAGAAATTATTTTTCTGTGGGACAGGGTGGTGTGCAAGACATGTTTACTCCACGAAATACAACATCTATAGCACCAAGTAAAGGTCTCATCAATGAGCCAGGACAAAATAGCTGCTTCTTGAATAGTGCATTACAGGTAAGAAATCTGAAATAACAATGTGCCTATCTTTTATATAAAAACTTTCTAATGTTTTAAAAGTATATATAATTCAATGCTATGGAGTCTTTTGTTGGACCTTATTATAAACTTTATCTCCTCTTAATCTAGTTTTCATAGCATATAACATACATGTAGTCAATATGGATATAAGATATTTAGTATCGTGGATTTGAGTCCTTGTGTTAGTATTTCACTTTCATTTTTTAAATAACAAGCTTTCAAAATTGTTTTCCTGCTTTCTTGCTATTGCCACAATATATATTAAGCACAAATACAACCATGAATGCTTCATTTGAATGAATTTTTGACAGGTTATTGGAGTCTTCTTAATTTCTTTGCATGTGAAAGTAAATAAGACATGAAGTTTGATGTAAAATTTTGTGAATAAGGATTTTGTGGATAAAAGAGACACTTACCTTAAAAAATCTTTTATTTGTAAGAATATTTTCATTCATTATAAAAAATGTTTTTATTCAGTAGTAAAAGAGGGCAAGAAATGTTCTGAAGACTTTAAACATCCTATGTAGCTTGTTCGGCTTTAAGAGGATATAAGGGAAAGTACATCATCATAAAATAAGAAAATGTCAGAAACACTAAAAGACTAAAGTCATAATTTTAGAATTCTAAAAACACTGCCATATCCTCAAGATTTGTAGACTGAAGGCAGCTTTGAACATGGAAATCGGAGCATACATCCTGGATACTTTACTGTATATCTCATAATGTAACACCGTAAAGTAAGATAGTCTGGCCAATATGTTGTAATCAGTTTCTTGTAAATCATAGCATAGGGAATAAAGTTGAGAAATAGGATGGGAGCCGACAAGGAAGAAGCAGAAATATGCATCCACTTAGCAAAAGACAAACATTGTGACCCAACTAAAATGTGAGAATTCCTAGAACTTGACATGGAACCCAGAGTAGGCCTTGAATTGTTGCATCGGGAATTTCTTTTTTCTTTTTTTGTTCCATCCTCAATCTAGCATTAATGCTGAGATTATTCTCAGTGTTACACATATTAGTATTTCCTATTTTTATTTTTATAATTCTAGCATATGGAAGCTTTAGCTATAAGTATTATAGCTAGAATGTTAAGCATTACAGCTGATAAGTGTTTTCAACAAAAATACACCAACATTGATGATTTAATGAACAGCAATGAATAAAGGAAGATATTTAAACCCCCTTCCCTCTACTTTTAATATCAAAATATAATTTTCAATAAAATATAAACAGCTAATAATAATTAATAGTGCAATTAACATGAGAGTTTTTATCTGAGTCCTAAAGCCATATATAAACTCATTTGGTAATTAAGGGGCTCCCAAATGTATGTCTATAACATACTGTAAAGAATATCTCATTTAAATCCCTTTTGCTCTTCAAATTAGTCTCTTGCAGTAATAGCATTTTCCTGTAAATACTCATAACAGATTAGATACTTGGTAGACTTGGTAGATCAATATGACTTTTACTGTCATAACATTAATAAAGGAAATTTGTAGTTTACGTACCACTTAGAACAAAATTAATTGATCACTTCGCTTTTTATTCAACATTAAACTTAAAGCAGAGATTTTAAGTATACAGTTCATCTTGAATAAAGTTGACCAAAATTCAGTCAAACTTGTGACTAAAAAAAGGGGAGGCAGGTGCAGCAGTGAGGCAGGAGGCCACATGGCGTGCCAGTGCCACCACTAGGCGGGGGTGGGGGGTGAAGCTTCTCTATGCACCGTGCGCCAGCTTACTTCACTGCCCCCGCAGCCAGGCCATCCATGTCCCAACAACTGCCTCATAGCTGTGGCACTGGTGCATTGCTCAGCCTCCTCCATTGCAGCCACAAGCAAACAGAAGAAGTGGGCTGGCGACAAAGCGGGGGTTCTACTGGATGGGGTTGCTGGAGCCGCCGTGAGGCGAGGCAGGTATCAGAGCGTAGGTGGCCTGGCACTACACCACACAGCCTCCTGCCCCTCCACAAGCAAGAAGTAGTAGAACTACATGGGAGGAGGGGAATAACATCCCTGAATATAAGCCCTAGTGCTTATTTCACATCTTAAAAGAAAATAAGACCAGTTCTTATTTTTAGGAAAACACCGGTATTTTGAACTATTCCTAAAGATACATGGCTGACCAATACATTTGAAATCGGAAAGCTATTATATGCTCTGTTTTCCTAGCAACTACTCAAAATTCTGGCTGCCATATTTTAGATAATGTCTAATTTTTGGCGGATCTTCTGAAATAACCACCCTTGCAGTGTGTTAATCTAACTGAAATGTGACAACCACCACTTTGACCAAGTTAGCATACTTCAGAAATGATCAGGTTAGTGTAACATTTGAAACTCAAATAATACTTTGCATCTCAGTGTCTGGGATTGCCTGAGTATCAAATGCTCCCAATTCCACCCACTCCTTCAAGGGAATGCTGTTCCATTCAAGATGGATAAATCACCGAATTTGGATCAGTCTTGTCCTTCAGAAGGCACACCTCCAGTTTGTTCAAAATTATTTTCATGCTTTGAGATCTGTTTTACTTCCAGACATTGGTTCAGGATATCTACTGCCACATCACTTGAGAATTCCATTACAATTATTCATAGAGACATGCTCAAAGTAGCATTTTGAAACTACCTGACAAATAGAATATAGAAGTAGATCATGATAAAACATTGTTTTCTCAATTTACCCCTCAAGATAATATTTTTATCAATAGCACTGAACAACCAGTTAGAGGACCAATAAGGTCATACTCTCAACCACCACTTCTTATTCTAGATATAAACCATCTGCCAGACTGAAATGTGAATCAGGACTGAAACATATTCAACCACCTATTTTAATCCAAATATTTTGGAGCTATGATACCACTATTTAATTTACCTTATCCAAAAGAGAGAGAATGATGTGCCAACTGTTAACTTAGTTTTGTCCCTAGTTGTCATGAAGCCAGTGAGGTCCTGAGTCATATCAGAGGCTGTGAATGTATTTCAATGTGAATACTGAAATCCTTGGGGATGAGAGCTGGGGGCTCTCAGGGCTGTTTCAGTAGTCCTGGTAGGAAGACTGTCTGACAGCAGGGTGTACTGGACAACATCTCTAGTTCTCTGTCTTGATCCATACTTCCCTGAAGAACACAGGTATTCTAGACACTGGTGAATTTGTTGATAAAGGAATTAAAGATTATCTTGGCTGTACCTCTTAATAACAATTTGATATGCAGTCGTTTGCGTTGTTGGAAAACATAAAATCTGAGTCTAGAGGTGTTGTAGAGTGTACTATGTACAGTGATATATAGATTAACTTTGCTCTTCTGAATCAAATGCTTCATTATATTTTTAAACCTGTTGCAATAAAACTCCCAGAGACCTGCCAATTTGGAGAGGGGGCCAAAATGTGATATGCATTAATATAGTGTTCTACTCTGGACTAGCTCATTTGCTACCTGACTCAGCACACAGCAGTCCAATCAGCAATCATTTCTTCCTCTTTCATGCAGGAAACACATATCACATTCTTACTAAAACTATAAGTAATTTAACCAGACAATTTTACTTATAGGGATAAAAGAAAAAGAATTATTAGCACATCTATTTGGAAGAGCTACTTGCCTTTTTCCTTTTCTATTTAATAAAGAGCTGGCTAGTCTTGGATTGTCTAGAATAGCAGATGGTCTAATAGGTAAATTATATTCAATATGTATATTATATTTTGGTGTGGATGGAGGATTGGAGGAGTATTCCGGAGCAAAATTTTGTGTGACAACTTGTTAGGTAAGGTCTTCAGTGAGGAGGAAGATGTCAAAAGGTGGAAGTCAGCAATTTTTTCTTTTATTGTTATATATTGATTTTGTGAAAGTTTATGTGACTCACAGTACTTTTACCTTGTATTACTAACTGAAGCAATGTAATGAATTTTGGATACTTATCTGTGATTGCAGTAAAGTTTATGTATGTATTTATTATATTGGCTCCTATTTGATGCTTTTATATAAGACAACTCACTGAGATATTTTACATTTGGACAATAGAAAATAAATTATAAAATAAAATCTACTGTCTATTAATGGGCTTTATGGCTGGAAAGCTGACAGCTCATGTTCAAAACCTGTGCTCCATGTGGCAGGTTGAGGTCCCATCCTCGTCCCAGTTTCTGCCAACCTAGCATTTTGAAAGCATGCAAATGCTAGTAGGTAAATAGGTATCACTTTGGTGGAAATGTAACCACACTCCATAATGTCATGCTGGTCACCTGACTATGGAAATGTCTTTGGACAGTGTTGGCTCAACGGTCTTGAAATGGATATGAATACCACCCCCTATAGTCGGCAATGACTAACAGAGTAAAATTCACAGGGACTCCTTTACCTTTACCTTTACGTCTATTAATAGCCAACATTGCTATTTAATTGACTATGGTATAGTCTCTCTAGTATTTATTAATATAACTGCTTTAATAAATTATGATTGTATATACAGCAGATATTCCCAGATACCAACCTTATATATACCAAGTGTGTTATAGGTTTCTGGTATTTGAGGTGCTCACTGTACATGAGATGTGGCACCACTAACGGGGCCTGCTGGACATGCATGAAAACCTGCCTTGGTCTCTTGCCTGAAAATGAAAGATGCAGAGATGTCTACACCACTGAGTGTTGAAAGTAACAATTCAGCAAAATTATTTTGAATGGTTAAGAGTCTATTATCATCTGTCCCAGACTTATTGAATCTTTTTGAAGCCTGCCATGACAGATTTGCAAGTAATTTAAAAGGTATCTTCATGCTAAATTTTCACTGTTTTGATACAGTATCTTGTTCCCCCTCCACATAGACATTGTATGTTTATGTCTTTATTTTTTCCCCCTATCCAAATGTAGGAGTAAGCACATGTCCTTGTTGAAATTCATATTTGCTTGTTTCTGCTCATTCTTTCAATTTTGAGATTCTCCTGATCCTTCTATTATTTTTAAAGTTCTTTTTTTATTAACTTGTGTGCTTTGCATATGTGATCATATTTCCTAGCCCGTCATCCAAGTCATTTCTAAATATGGTGTTTGAAAACAGAACCATATGGAATGCTATTTATCCATTCTAGCTTGAATGTAGCCACTGACATAAACCCCTTGGATATGTCAAAGAGTATATCATGGTGATTGTTCAACCAATTTGGTATCTATAGTAGGATAGTTTAGCCCACATTTTGCCATCTTCTCTACTACAATCTCATAGAAGACTTTGTTGAATGCTTTATTGAATGTGATGTTTATGTTGCCAGCATACACATGGTCAACTAAGCCTGTCACTATGTCAGACCTGCTCAAGAATTTATTCTAAGTACTCACAAACGGATTGCTGACTAATATATGCCTGAATTTCATCCAATATTAGTATTAAGCTGGCAAAACTCTTTGCTTGGTTGTTAAAAATATATGCTGCCCATACTCCCCCCCCCCAATTTTTTTTTGGGGGGGGGAGTTAAAATATTTAGCCTTTTCCAGTCCTTTAGCACGGAACTTGTCATTCATTATTTCTCCAAAATGGCATTCACAAACTTCTTCAGAATTTTTAGAGTAATTGATTTGGTTCTGAGAAAGTTGTACAAGGGACACTCTGACCCACTTCTATGATGGATCTCTCAAATTATTTAGGTTTTAAATGTGAAATTTACAGGTTTTCAGCTTATCTCATGCTTCTTTGAACTTTTTATGTTTATTTGATGAAACCAAGGAGTGATATTGGATGGATCCAGTGTATAGAGGATACATCTCTCCATGAAGTGTCACTGAGTTTAGAGAGTCTGCTCCTGAAGACCCTCTCTGGATTGAAATGTTGATGATAACTATCCCCCCATAACGAACATCCTTTGAGGAAAGACTGGGAAGTAAAGAGAGAAATGTCCTTTCAACAGCATACATTATTGGCAAAAATAGAATGTTTTCATCTGTTTTAATCTGAGTTTAGCCCTAATTTTAGGACTGAATTAGCTTTGGTTTCTTTAGAGGAATAACATCTGATTACTTCTTACTATCGGTCCATGTTAGAAAGTGTCCTCACAGACTGTATAACAGTATAGTACTCTGGTTTAACAGCCGTGGACAGGAAGGCACTACAGAGATTGATTAACTCTGCATAGAAACGATTGGTTGCCCCTAACACCACTGGATGACATCGCCAGGTCTCACTGCTTCAGCAGACCAAGAAAGATACTTAAGGATGATTCACACTCTGGCCAGTGTTTCTTTTCGCTTTTACCATCAGGCAAAAGACACAGAAGTATAGCCATCTGGAAAAGCAGGTTTAGAAACAGCTTCTACCCATAGGCTGGCAGACTCCTAAACATTTAGCACCACAAACAGATTAATATGACAAATTTCACTTGTGTCAGTGTAGTGTGTATCCATATACCATGATAGAAGATCATACACCAGAGTAATATATATGTTGCATAGAATATTACGTACATACATAAACATATGACTAGTCCCCACCCCCCAATTACTTGTATAAGGATTATTCTCCATGGTATTGACGGGAGTCCAGGTTGGGTTATTGTAGCCTGCTAGCTCTTTGAGTTGAAATTCAGTCTTTCAACTCAGTCTCAACTCATAGGATGTATCTTCAAGCTCAGGACTATAGCGAATTTCTTGTGATATTTCTTTTTTCCC